CCTGAGCGCCTTCCCCCTGCGGCCGCTGGAGTGCAGCCTGGAGAGGAGACGCTGGCTGTCGCAGCCACCCCAGCCCCGGGCCTGCCAGCGTGAGTGACCGCGGGGATGTCTGCCCTGTACCCTGCCCCTTACACTTTCCCTGCCCGCACGGCCTTTCCCTGTGAGCCGGGGGGCATCCGATCCGGAGCAGGAGAGGGGCCCATGGGGCATCTCTGGAAGGAGCCCATGTGCTTCCCAGACCCCTTTGCGGCTTCTCTGGAGCTGTCTGCTCCCGGGAGCAGGGCCCTCACTTCAGGCTCTGCGGGGAGGTGTTGGGGGTGGGACTGGGTCCAGCAGGTGGGGGTCCATGGCTGTGTCAGTTACTATGGTGGGACAAGCTCTCAGCTGCTTGTCCGGCCCTTGAGTGGGACCTTCCGCATCAGCCTCTCCCCCGGGTCCCTCTACGCCTGGCAGAGCTGTGGGCCTGTGCCCTGTTTGAATATGGGCGCAGCTGCTGTCCTGCCCGCACACTGGACCCACTTTCATGTGCACCATCTGTGAGACGGCACCGGGCTCCGACCGCAGCGGCCTTGGCAAAGGCTGGCGTGGGTACTCAGCCAGGCAGGGCAGGGGTGGACGCTGGGGCCTGGCACGGGGTCCACCTAGGGCTGTGGAAGGGGTGTCTAGGCTAGAGACCCCAAACCTCGAACTGCCACAGGCTCTGGGGAGCTGGCCGAGTGTCAATGGACAGTGTTTGTTGCAAAGCATCCTGGGATAGAGAATGCTATCCAGAAAAAGTTCAAAATGTGATGTTGACACACAAGTGGATTGCCCACCTGACTATGACAAAAGGGCCCCAGCTGAAATCCAGACCCGGCTGGGCTGGGAGCGAGGGACTTGGCAGAAGGGAGGGGTGGGTCTTGGACTCGGACGTGGGACGTAGGGCTGCTGTGTCCAGATGTGCAGGGTGTGCACTGAGCCACCTGAGAGCATGCGTTTTGTGCTGCGGAGTCTGCTCTCCACCGGCAAAGCCACATGGAGTTGCCCCGTTCGAATGCAAGGTTGTGCCGGGGTTGGGGGGGGGCGCGGGGGCTTTGCCAAGAGGATTGCCTAGGGCCCAGGACGCAGGGCAGCCGGGCGGAGAGGCCGGGGCAGGACCGCTGGCTGGGAGGGGCTCTGGCTTCGGAGGGATCCGTCGCGCCTGGACGTGTGTGGACCGAGGAGGACAGTGCAGATGACAGTGCCGGCGTGCTCCAGACCACAGGCAGGAGGGTTGTGTTTGCAGAGGAAAAGCTAACAAAGGCAGGAAGGGATCCCACAGGTCTGTGTGCTGCGTCTGCTGACCCGACTGTCCCCACAGGGCCCCAGCTGTGGCAGACCCTGCAGACCCGAGCCCAGTTCCAGCTCCGGCTCCCGCCGGGCAAGATGTGCAGCGCCGACTACGCGGGCCTGCTGCTGGCCTTCCAGGCCTTCGTCTCGGACGAGCTCACAGCCCGTGGCTTCTGCCAGGTCCAGGTGCGTGCCTGCCTCCCCCGTGGCGGGGCGGGGGCGGAGCTCGGGGTCCTGGGGTCTGAGAGCCTCCGCTGAACCTGAAGTGTGACACCTGATAATTTTACCCGTGGGCAGACCGAGGCTCAGGCTGAGAAAGTAAGTCGGCCAAGGCTAGATAGGTAGCGGCAGAGGCGAATCCAAACCTGTCACGTCACTGGATGAATGACCGGCGCGTAGCAGTTCCTCACCCATGACCTCTGCGTGAACCCCCATAGCCACCATCACCTTCATCCGGGCATCGTGTGGGACGTGGCACAGGGTGCATGCGTGGTGCCAGTCTGTGGCGTGGCAGGTCATGTCGATGGCGTCCTAAAGCCCAGGCTGCCCCCACAGAACTGCGCGCAGGTGCCCGAGCTCCTGTCGCCTCCGGGCACCCGAGCTTTGATGGACTAACATCCCCTAAGGGGGATGGAAGCTCTTGGGCTCTTACCCTTAGAAAGAGTGTGACGTGAGCTGGTGTTGAACCCGGACCAACCATGCCCCTCACCATCCATCCACCCACCCTGCCCCGCAGTCACCGATGCTCAGGTTGGGAGGAGAAGCCAGGCTGGGCCTGCTGTGGGCTCCACAAGCTGGCTCCCGCCCAGCCGACGAAGCTCAGTGGTTGAGCATCGTGGTTTGATTCCCGGTCAGGGCACAGGCCCAGGTTGCAGGCTCGGTCCCCAGTAGGGGGTGTGCAGGAGGCAGCCGATGAATGGTTCTCTCTCATCATTGATGTTTCTATCTCTCTCTCCCTCTCCCTTCCTCTCTGAAATCAGTTAAAATGTATTAAAAAAAAAAAAAGCTGGCTCCCTGCTCTGTGTTCTTGAACTGAAGGCGTCTGTCCCCGTAGGTGCAGACGGTCGGGACCCCTGTTACCGTTCCTGCCTGTGACGACTCCGCGGTGCGGGTGGAGTGTCTGACCCAGGAGCGTTTGGGAGTGAATGTCACGTGGAAGTTGCGGCTCGAGGACGTCCCACCGGCCTCTCTCCCCGATCTGCGTGACGTCGGTATGTTTCCCTGCCTGGCTGCCTCGGAGGAGCTATGCAGAGTCTCCGAGTCTCGGTTTCCTCATCTGTCAAATGGAGCCGGTGGAGCCGTCATCCCTTCCTGTGGGTCTCTAGTGAGAATGATCAGCCGGGCTCCCGGGAGGAGCTAAGTATCAAACAGTGTGTAAAAACCAATACATTTCTGATCAATGGCTTACTAGCGTTCAAAAATATCACCTGGTTGTGTTTCTGTGAGCATTTTCTAATTCTCCACTGGACTTTCTGGGCAGAGAGAGGGGATATAGGTGTGAAAAAGGGTGAGAAGGTGGGAGAGGGAGCCTCTGTTGGTTTATAATTCGCGTTCTGTCCTCTCCAAATTGTGAGACATCTCAGACCACTCACACTATGTAGACCCGTCACTGAGCTTCTAGAACAGGCAGGGACATGAGGATGGATCGTGGGGGTGGAAAGCGAGGAGAAGCAGAGGGGATGGTGTGATAGCCCGAGGGTCCGGACTGGCTGGACATGACCGCTGTCCTATGAGAGGAAACTTCTGGAAAAGGTGGCCAGGGTATAACCAGAAGGGAGGCGGCATCTCTGCCATTCTGCCGTCCTCATGGCAATGATCCCCAGCATCATGAATTCAGGGTCCCCTTTGTCTCCCTCTGGAAGAGCCTGGATAATGGGGCTGTGTTGGGAGCTGGAAAAGGTGGGGATGATCATTCCTAGCGTCAGTGTGACGACTGAGGGTTCCGGCCGCGGCTGGCTTTGCGCAGCCTGTTGGAAGCAAGTGCTCCTTGTGTGCTGAGGTCCACCCGGCTCCAGATGGGGGCTCCTCTCCCTCCAGGAAGCACTCCTGTCACCCAGAGGGGCGTCTCGGTGTGCATGGGGGCGGGGGGCTCATTGCCTCCTGCAGGCTCTGCCTTTGCTGCCATGGCCCCATTGCATATTTTCTGAATCCTCACCACCTGCGAGAGAGGCGCGTCCATATTGCAGATGCGGAAACTGAGGCTCAGAGGTGGTGGCTTGCCAAACGGTGCTTATCCAGACAGTGCACCTTAGACCGGTGACCGAAATCATGATGTCCTGTCCCAGCGTGGCAGGGAGGAGGGGTCACATGGACGCCACAGGAAGGGCAGCGCCACAGACCTGGGCTGGAGGGCTCACTGGGCTTCTGACCCCTGTGTGACCTTGGGCCAGTCAGTCCCCCTCTCTGGGCCTGTCTCTCCCGCTTCACCGTGAAACACTGGACAGTGCCTGGGCCTCCTCTCGGCGTGGGTGCCTGGTGGCTCTGCCCCTGCACCCTCCCCGGGCCTGGCTGAGAACCGTGAGGTGACTCCCGCCCCACCCCGTGTCTTACAGAGGAAGCCTTGGGCAAGGGCCTCGCGGGGCGCTTCGCGGATCTGATCCGAAGCGGCGAGTTCCGGCTGCATCTGGATGCCAAGACGTTCCCAGCAGACACGTCCCTCCGCTTCCTCCACGGGGACAGCGTGGGCACCTCGCCCAGGACCCGCTATGGGTGCCTGGAAGGATTCCACCCAGTCTCGGCCCCCAGCGACGCCAGTCAGGACCCACTGGGGTGCGGTAGGTCCACCACTCCCTGCACTGCTGCTACTGAGCTGTGTGAGGCTGCGGAAAGGCCCCCGAGCTCGGGGAGAGTGCACGTACAGAGCGCAGAATCTTTCATTTCTTTATTTTTTAAAAAATATTTTTATTGATTTCAGAGAGGAAAGGAGAGGGAGAAAGAGGTAGAAACATCAATGATGAGAGAGAATCATTGATCAGCTGCCTTCTACACACCCCACACTGGGGATTGAGCCCACAACCCAGGCATGTACCCTGACCAGGAATCGAACTGTGACCTCCTGGTTTGTAGGTCGACATTCAACCACTGAGCCACGCCGGCCGGGTGAATCTTTCTTTATTCAAAAGTCTTTCAATCCCCAACTGTGCGTGGGCAGAGTCATCACCCTAGAGGCTCAGATGACAGGACAGAGGAAGAACACTGAGGATGGAAGTCACCCCTTCCCCTTGGACGCTGGGGTAGTGCAAGAGCAGGGGGCGTGTGAAGAGGGGTGGCTTTGTGGGGACAGTGGGGACAGTGCGCACGGCCTATGTGGCTGGAGGATGAGGTGTGTGGGGAACTCGGGACACGGGGCTGGGGAGATAGGCAGCGAGAGAAAGGGAGAGGCCTTAGGGCCCAGCAAGGGGCTTAGACCATGAACGAATTTTAAGTTGGAAAGTGGCAGGGGTAGGCCTGGCGTTGGGTGAGCCGGCTAAGGGTGAAGGCCCATTCTGCCTCCTCACAGATACTGGCCGCCATTGTGGTGAGACTATGGGACCTCGTGGGCATGACCAAAAGCTTGGGAAACGTGCAAACTCAACGAGGCCATCTGGTCTCATTTCATGGGGGAGGGGTGGAGGCCATGGGGCGGGGGGTGATTTTCCGGCTGCAGATAGACCTATATGAAGAGGTGGCCAAGGTATAGTCAGAGGAGCAGGGAGTTACCTGAAGGATGAATCCGCGTTGGTGCCACGGACTCAAGGGTCTTGGAGAGGACACACCTGCCAGGGGAGGATTGCGATCCCCTGGGCACGGTCTCATTCTGACCGACACACTGGCAAGCCATGCTTCTGACCCCTGGGTGACCTTGGGCCAGTCAGCCCTCCTCTCTGGGCCTGTTTCTCCCTCTTTACATGAAACACTGGGTAGTGCCTGGGTCACCTTCCGGCGTGACTGACACAGGGTTCCTCTGGGCAGATGAGACTGTGGCCGTCAGCGATGGAGAGAAAGACACGTGCTTGCCCCGAGCACAGTCCAGATGCGCCACTTACTGAGCACTCCTGCCCTCCAGCCCAGGGCTGTGGCGCTGCCCTTCCTGCGGCCTCCATGTGGCCCCATCCCCCACCCCGTCAGTCATCAATCTAAGATTTGGGGCGGGCAGCTTGGGCTGGTGGGAAGTTTTTGTTTTCCTTTAGCCATGACTTTGGAGACCACTGGAAAAAAACAGTCCCAGCTCCGGGGTTAAAATACTAGAGATGATCAACAGGCTGACTCATAGGAGTACCGAAACCCCGTTCTCGAGCGAGGCCCTGGCTGGCTCGGGGCCGCCCGGAAAGCGCACCCTTCAGTTCCCAGGAGGCGTCTGGGTTTCTGATTGACTCAGAAACGCCGGTGGTGAGCATGTACCAGAGATGGGAGCTGCTAGGGCAACGCTGGCTTCACTCCAGCATGTCCCGCACGCACGTCCGCGCTTGCTACTTGGTCAAAGGAAGTTGGTAGTCTTGGGTGCAGGAAAGGCTTTGGTTTGCAGAGAATGGGGCTCAAGTCCAAAGTCATGCAAGTATCGTGGGGAGAGGAACTTGACCCCATCTGCCGACCCCAAAGCTTGTGCCCCTACACTGTGCATGTCCAGCCTGTCCTTAACGTTGGGAACTGTTGCCATGGCGACCGATGGTTGGAACTCATCTTTCAGGTGGTTCTCCAGTATCACCTCTTCCCTTCATCATTAAGCTTGATCTCAGTAGCTGCCTTTGCATTGTTTGCTCTCTCTCTCTCTCTCTCTCTCTCCTCACCCAAGGATATTCCATTGATTTTTAGAGAGAGTAGAAGAGAGAGGAAAAGACATATCGATATTGGCGACCGATGGTTGGAACTCATCTTTCAGGTGGTTCTCCAGTATCACCTCTTCCCTTCATCATTAAGCTTGATCTCAGTAGCTGCCTTTGCATTGTTTGCTCTCTCTCTCTCTCTCTCTCTCTCCTCACCCAAGGATATTCCATTGATTTTTAGAGAGAGTAGAAGAGAGAGGGAAAGACAGAGAGAAATATCGATATGAGAGAAACATCGATTGGTTGCCTCCTGCATGTGCCTGACCAGGGCCGGGCCGGGGAGGAGCCTGCAACTGAGGTACATGCCCTTGACCGGAATCAAACCTGGGACCCTTTATTCCGCAAGTCAACGCTCTGTCCACTGAGCCAAACCTGCTAGGGCTGTTTGGCTTTTCTCTTTCCACTTCTTGAATAATCCACACTCATCACTGCCTCAGGATGTTTGCACTTGCCTAGAATTTGTCCTTGACCTCTGCCTGGGGTACTTCTCATCATTCAAGCCACAAGTGTCACCTCTCAGAGGGGCCCGGCTCGCTAGCCTCCCCTCCTCCCTGCTTCGTTTCTTCCCAGTCTCTGAGATTCTGGTCGGACACACTCTCATCTGCTAGCCTGTCGCCCCCGGGGAGCAGGCACTGTCTACCTTCCTCACAGCTCATCCTGGGCTCTCAGAGCCCAGCACACGGCGGGTCTTCAATGCACATTTGTTCCGTGAGTGATGTCTTGCGCTGACTCGGGGATTTCACATGCAGACCCTGTGTGCCATGAGGTCGTAACTGTGACGCAAGTGTCTTACCTTGACCACCACGTCCCTGTGTCTCTTTCCAGTGAAGTGTCCCGAAGGAAGCTACTCCCAGGACGAGCAGTGTGTTCCCTGTCCCGCTGGATTCTACCAGGAACAGGCCGGGAGCTTGACCTGCACCCCGTGTCCTGTGGGCAGAACCACCATTTCCGCCGGCGCGTTCAGTCGGACTCACTGTGAGTTCTAAAGGGTCTCGCTTTGACACAGAAGCCTGCGGGGCGGTGGGGACACAGCGGGTGTCTCGGCCTTGGCGCTGTGGCCATTTGAGGCTGATACTTCTTCGTGCTGGGGGCTGTCCCATGTGTGGCAGCAGGTTTATGTCGCAGCTCACTGGCCCTTACCCATTAGATGACAGCAGCACACCCCCCGCCCCACCAAATTGTGACAACCAGACACGTCACCAGACATTGCCAGGAGCATCTTATGGGGACAAAACTGCCCACCCTTGACAACCCTTGGGTATGCAATGCAATAATCAAAGAGGCCACCATCTTTGAATAGTCGCACCCCATCACGACCTAGGCCAGGCATCTTGCCTGTGCTGTCTCATTTAATCCTCCCAGTTCCCCTTCTAGGTCAACATTATAAGCCTAATTTTTACCGATCGGAAGGTTAAGACTCAGAGAAGTCCTTTAGCCAAAGTCTGGCCTTTGATCTCGGTACTGATTCAGAAACTTCTGATGTTCCTGTCGGCCTTATCAGATTGGCAGGCGGAAGATGCTTTCCACCTGCAGGCATTGCCACTGTGTGGTCGTGCCCTTTCCCTTGTACGTAGGTCAGGACACTGTGTACCCATGGCCTTCCCGTAGGTCACGTGATTTCATGTGGCCCACTTAACAGTCACGTGGGCGTCGCTGGGTTTCCCCTGGCGAGGACTCATAGCCTGAAATTGTGTGAACGAGAGGCAAACCATTATTGCTTAAAATCTGAATAGTGTGCCTGGCCAGCGTGGCTCAGCAGTGGAGCATCAACCTATGACCCAGGAGGTCAGGGTTCGATTCCTGGTCAGGGCACATGCCTGGGTTGTGGGCTCTATCCCCAGTGTGGGGTGTACAGGAGGCAGCCGATCCATGATTCTCCCTCATCATTGATGTTTCTTTCTTTCTCTCTCGCCAGAAGTGCTAGTTGCCTTATTTCCTCCTTTTCTCTCTGAAATAATCAAAATAAAAAATCTAGTGATACATTTTGAAAGTAATTAACCGAAAGAGATCAAGTCACCTCCTCTGATCAAGGCATTTTCCTTGAGCAGAAGAGCAGTGGGAGTTCCAGGAGGCAGGAGGGATTCCTCGGCCGGGGCGCTGACATTCCACGTTGATGCATTCGCTGTGGTTGAGGGCGACCTCCCGTGCTGACACACCGCTGGAGGGACGCTCTCTTACAAGGGGGTCAGCGTCATGTACTGGCCCTTGTTAATGAGGGGGTGCTACTAAAATAGCAGGGGTAGGAGGGAGGGATGTGGGGAGAGAGAGAGAGAGAGAGAGAGAGAAACATGGACATGAGAGAGACACCTCAATTGGTTGCCTCCTGCACACACACAGACCAGGGGTGGGGATCCAACCTGGAACCCAGGTACGTGCCCTTGACCGAGAATCGAACCTGAGACCCCTGGGTGTGCCGGCTGATGCTCTGACCCCTGAGGAACATTGGCCAGGGTAGGCATATACCTATTTTTAAATTAGAAATCACAATGTCACAGTGCGGGAGACGCTGGGATGCAACAGGGAGCAAAACCAGGTCAGGTCCCTGCCCTCTTGGAGCTTCTACCAAGTGGGAGGCAGACAGTGGTCAACCACTCATTCACATGGACCAATGGGAGCAACCATTCATTCACATGGACCAATGGGAGCAACCATTCATTCACATGGACCAATGGGAGGAATGACCGTGCTCCATGCTGTGAGGATGGGCTTTGATAGGAGGGATGTCAGGGCTAGGAGGCTGCCCCTGGGCGGGGGGTAAGGATTGACTTGAAAGCTGATGAGCTGTGAGGAGTGGACTCACTGAAGACTGGGGAGAGCTGAGCACCAGAAGAAGAACCCGCAGAGCAAGGCCTGGGTTTGAGCAAATGGTACGACTGAAGGTGGTGCGTGCACGCCCGGCGATGAATGCAGCGATCGAGGAAGCTCAGGGCCCCTGTGCAGAACCAGAGGGGTGGGGCCAGGCCTCAGGGGTCTAGTGGCCCAGCAGAGAGCCTGGACATCATGTTTGGGTCAGGGCGGAGTCACTGAGGAGTTATGAGCTAGGCAAGCATGTCAAACTCGCGGCTGGCCGGGCGGCCGCATGCCTCGTTTATTTAAACAAGGTATGCGGCCCGTCGGCCGGAAGTTTGACATGCTTGAGCTAGAGGGTGTGTGGCTCAGATGTGTGACTTGGCTGTCTGATCAATGATTGGGAGCCTGGGATCTGGGGGGAGGGGACCCCAGAGGCACGCCATCGACCGTTCAGCGTTGTGTCCATCTCTCGGTTGCAGGCGTCACCGACTGTCAGAGGAACGAGGCCGGCCTGCAGTGTGACCAGGACGGCCGGTACCGCGCCAGCCAGAGGGCCAGGGACAGTGGGAAGGCCTTCTGTGTGGACGACGAGGGGCAGAGGCTGCTGTGGTCCGAAACGGAGGCCCCGCTCACGGACTCCCAGTGTCTGAGTATGTGCAGCCCTTAAACAGCGTGTTGCTGGGGAGGGGGAGCTCTCCAGGGCTTTCTAGAAGGGAGAGACATGCATTTGTCTCCAACTGTTTACCGACGGAATTTTTAATCGATGTCAAAGCTGAAAGAACAGTAGTGAGATGAACAAATGCCCTGCACTTAGATCCAACCTTCTTTTGTTCTCTTTTATCTTTAATCATTGGAAAGTAAGTTTTAGACACCAGGAAACCTCACCCCTACATGCCTGTGACTGCATGAGAAATGAATTGTAAGCATTCATCTGCGGAGGTTTCCTTTGTTTTTTTGTGGGCAGCTCGCCTCCAAAAAGCTGGTCAGCATTTCTCCCTCCATGGGATGCTATGGAGAAGACTTGAGGGCCAGGCCTGGTTCCATAATTTCCTTGCTGGGTGACCCAGGGCAAGTTGCTCAATGTCTCTGATCCTCAGTCCCCAGAGTGGCCTCCTGCCTGCCTCCTGAGACACTTTGAAGGTCACGCCATCCTTTAAAGATGCAAACATTCCTCGAGCAGTCCCCTGGGCCAGGCACAGGTCCTCCATGAGATAAACTGTTGAAACTGGCCTTCAACAGTTTTCTCATCTGTAAAATGGGTGTGGTAAGGCTACTGTGTGGGCAAGTTGGGTGAGTTAGCGATGGTAAGGCTACCATGTGGGTGAGTTGGGTGTGTTAGTAATGCCGTGCCTAACACAGGTAATCAATCTCTCAGGATGATGAGCAGGCTCCGTGCTAGTTGCCTTATTTCCTCATCTGTTACCCAGGGAGCAGGTGAGACAGCCTGCAAGGTCCCTTCATCCTGCCCCCCTCTGTCTTCACCCTGAGCCCCACCTTTCTGGGGGGCCCTTCTGCTGCTTGAGGCCATGGCTTCTCTTTGCACACCTGGGCGAAAGCCTTGGCCACCAGTCACGTAGGTTTCTGTGCAAGGAGAGGGAGGACATCCGTGCGCTCACTGTGTGCCAGCTCCCGTGCAGGTATGACCTAGGCCAGTGGTCGGCAAACTGCGGCTCAGCAAATTGCGGCTCGCGAGCCACATGCGGCTCTTTGGCCCCTTCAGTGTGAGACCAACCGACACCCCCCACTTCTTCTAACGCCACTTCTTCAAACTAGACTCGCCCAGGCCAAAAACCGACTTCTGCGCATGGGCCACGAAGTTTCAATCGCACTATACGTGCACGCCCACACGTGGTATTTTGTGGAAGAGCCACACTGAAGGGGCCAAAGAGCCGCATGTGGCTCGTGAGCCGCGGTTTGCTGACCACAGACCTAGGCCATCACGTGGAAACTTCCTGGGGGTTGGGCAAAGGGTTGACATGGTGCCCCCAGTCATTTAGTTGAAGAAAGTGAGGCAAAGAGTATTTCAGTGATGTCTCTTCAGCACATTGAACTGGTGTGTGTCTCACTCTCAAACCCATTCTTTCCGTTACACAGTCTGCTTCTACCTGATTGCTCTGCCTCCATATTAAACACTCCCACATATGCACACGCACACACACAGCACATGCAGGCACGCACGCTTGCACACATAGCCAGCCAGCTCTCCAGCAAAGTTGCTGCAGCTGATAGCAAAAAACACCTGGGAAAACTCAAGCACGAAAATCTCATTTTCTAAGGCTCAGAACAATCATTCCTTCTCCAGCAACACCCCCTCCTCCCCCCAGTCCCAGGAGCTGTGCGCAGTGGCCCTGAGGCTACATGGCGAATCCAAGGAAAGTCATTGTTTTCCATGAGCCTGGGAGGCTTAAGTGATCAGGGGGGCGGGTCCTTGCCGTCCTGCACACTCGGGCCCTGGGGTTCCTGGCCACAGGGCCCTGGCCACTCGGGGACCCTCACCTCAGGGCTTGCATCTGACCCGCAGCCCTCTTTGCCTCCCTGTCCGCAGATCGCAACATGCACTTTGTAAAATGCCTCTTGTTTGTTCTGCCCTGTGTTCCTCGGGGGCAGAAAGGGCAGCTTGGTAAGTGGCCTGGCAGCCGCGATCAAGAGCAGCTTAGCTTCGCCAAGTTCAATGCCGCCTCCCGGCTTAGGATGAGCCTCCAGGCTGATCCCCTGGTCGCGTCCTGGTTCAGCAGGCAGAGCTCGGAGCTTAGGTGTCCCCTCCGATCTGCAGGGGGTTTCCGTGTTCAGGAGCTGCCCCGCTGGGATATCCGCATGCCTTCCCCACTTTCCCCTTCACTTGCCTTCAGGGGAGCTTTCTCTTTGGAAGGGAAACCGCAGTCTCATTTGTGAGGCTCTTGTCCTCTTGAAGAAGCAAAAGGCATGGAGTCTAGTGGTATCACTTCCCAAGCAGGTGCTCGCCGCTCTCCGCCCGCCCCACGTCCACCGCCTGCACTGCAGGCCTGGTTTTCTTGGGAAACTGTTGTAGAGTGAGGCTCGCTCCTGGCGAGTCACCGCATGATTTTTCACTTGGTGAGGACTGAGCTCTGAGGCTCGTAGCCTTCTCCTCCTTCGTCGGGTCCCTGGAGCGCAGACCCGAGCCCAGGTGTGTGGCGGCAGCTAGAAACGCAGGTGTGATGCGCCTTTAAACAAACACGGTCGAGAAGGCCCGAGCCACGTGCCACGCTTTCAGATTGACATGAGCCCATGGGCACATGTGCCCATCGTCTTTCAAAAACCACCTGCCTCTCTCCGGGAAGAAGTGAAGTTGTGTTACGGAAAGAAAATGTCCAGCCCAGGAATTATAAGATTAGCCTCAAAGGGAAAGGCAGGGAATACCGCTGAGAGACACTCTGTCAATGAGAAAAAACTGAGTTGTAAGGACGAACATCAACTACATTCTCTAACTTTCCTTCTTGCTTCCTGGCAATGCGGTGGGAAATGAGACCTAAGTTGGAGCTGTCAGTGTTACGGGGGAGGCAGCGTGCTGGGGCCACCTCAGAGGGCACCCTCTCCTTGGGGCCTGCGCGTGGCCCCGGGCCGGGGAGGAAGGTGACCGCTGACCCAGCGCTCTTTTGGCTTCTACCCTTCAGAGTCCGATTTCATACATTTCGAATTTCCTTTCAGTGATGCAGAAATTTGAGAAGGTTCCGGAATCGAAGGTGGTCTTCGACACCGAGGTTGCCTCGGGAGTCAGGTCCCAAGTTCCTGGCTCTGAGTTCCCCCTGGCGCAGTGCCTGGCAGGTGAGGGGTGGGCACATGGGCACCTGGAGAATGGTGTGCAAACCTGCTCTGCCGATCTCGCAAGACAAACCAAACAGAACCGCTAAAACGAGCGTGAAAACATACACTAAGCCCAAACACTTTGGAGTCCGTTGATCCCCCCAAGGTGCATTTAGCTCATCATTTCCCTGAAGAGTGCATAGGGCATCTACTATGTGCCAAGCACAGTGGGACGCCAAAGGTTAGGGGGCAGGAATGAAGGGCACTAGCTCCTTATAGAACTATGTGTCCAGGTTGGGTGACACATTCGTCTATTTTATTTTATTTATTTTGAAAATATAATTTTATTGATTTCAGAGAGGAAGGGAGAGGGCCAGAGAGATAGAAACATTGATGAGAGAGGAACATCATTGATTGGCTGCCTCCCACATACCCCACACTGGGCATTAAGCCCATAACCCGGGCACGTGCCCTGCCCGGGAATCGAACCGTGACCTCCTGGTTCATAGATTGACACTCAACCACTGAGCCACGCTGGCTTTGCCACATTTGTCTATTTTAACAGCGAGGCCAGAGAGGGGTAATAACAGCTACCATTTATTTATTGGGCATGGGTCTGTATAAGGATTATTTCATAATCCTGCCAGCATCCGTGAACAGTCATTGTTGTCCGATGCTGCAGGTGCGTGTGAGTGTGAGTGTGAGTGTGTGAGTGTGTGTGTGTGTGTGTGTGTGTGTGTGTTTGGGTGTGCTGGGGGCAGGGTGTCCGTCTGCCTTCAGCAGTACCTGGGAGGGACATGCGCTGACACCCGTGGTGCTTGCAGGCTGTGCCGTGGATCCGGCCTGCAGCTTCCTCACAGTGTCCACGGTGGGGTCAGACGTCTCCTGTGACTTCTATGTTTGGACAAGTGACAGCATCGCCTGCACAGCTTCTGGTCAGGTGAGTCCCGGCCGCCACGTGGCCTCTCAGCCTCTTGTCCGTCCGTCGTCAGTCACACCTGGTGGAATCCATACTGGGCTGGTTAGGTGATGGGATGACAGTGTCCACGGCCGATCCCTTGTTCCTCCGTCTCTTCAGAGTGATGAGACGTTGGGAAATGGAGGCGGCATAGACCTGCTTCTGATGGAGCTGCCACAAAGGGCGTTCCTCTGAGCAGCATCGTGTCCTGACCCAAGAGGCAGAAGAGAATGTCGGTGCCAAGCCCCCTCCTGTTCCCCACCAGCCTACTCACTGGGCAGACTGGGCAAGGCATGCCCCTGGCCCTTGTCCAGAGCCCTCTGTCCCTCGGAGTCCTGGACCCTGCCATTCCTTTCCATTGGGAAAGTAAAGCGTGACTGTGGCTTACAAAGAGGAAAGCTAAATCTTAGCTAGACCCCGTGAAACGGCTGTTTCTGTAGGCGAGAGCTGGTGGAGTGTTGGCAATGCCGTTGTTACCATGGGCGAGGGCAGAGGGGTGTGCAGGGAAGCCCCTCTCTGTCTCCTAACCACTCCTGCCTCCTCACACAGGCAGACCGCATTCCCCTCTCCAGCTCCTGTGGACCTGGCCAAAAAGTTTCTGTGTTTATAAGCATCTTTGTTTGTTTACATCCTAACATTTTATAATACATATTTTTCTCCCCTGTACTTTAATAATTAACCTTGATCCTTTTTTAAATTTTTAAAAATTTTATTGGTTTTTTACAGAGAGGAAGGGAGAGAGATAGAGAGTTAGAAACATCAATGAGAGAGAAACATCGATCAGCGGCCTCCTGCACACCCCCCACTGGGGATGTGCCCACAACCAAGGTACATGCCCTTGACCAGAATTGAACCTGGGACCCTTCAGTCCATAGGCTGACCTCTATCCACAGAGCCAAACCGGTTAGGGCTAACCTTGTTCTTTTTTAAATAAATCTATTTTTATTGATTTCTGAGAGGAAGAAATAGGGGGAAAGAGGGAGAGAGAGTAGAAACATCAATGATGAGAGAGAATCATTGATCGGCTGCCTCCTGCACACCTCCCACTGGGGACTGGAATCAAACTGTGACCTCCTGGTTCATAGGTCGATGCTGAACCATTGAGCCTCCCTGGCCAGGCAACCTTGTTCCTTTAATGGCACACACCAGCCCATCCTGTGGATGTCCACGCTTTACCTTGCATTGGTTGAGGACATTGGTTAGCAGTTCTGCCACGTCACCTGCAGTGGGCCATCGCCTGCCCTGTGTCCCTGCCTCTTGCTCCCATGGGAGTGTGCGTCCATGAGTGACAGCTGGAGGCACATGGAGGGGCCCCCCCTGAGTGTTAGCTCTTTACAGCTCCCCAGTCTCAACAGAACCACCTGTCTCTCCCCTGGGACTCCCCTGGAATGACATGTGTCTGTAGCTGGTACTGGGGGTGCAGCTGACTGCTCACCTGTCTGTGTGCGTCAATAGACTGGGAGGATAGAACGAAGAACATGGAAATGTAGCCCGGTGGGTGCCTCGCTGTGGTTAGGCTCTGATACCTGTCTGTGGACTGGCTGTCACGGGACGATAATACAGCCTCTTTCATCTCCAGGGTCAAGGCGGGGTGGGGAACGAGAAGGCCACTGGCTTTGGAAGTCTCAGGTGCCAGGTGAAGGTGCCGCCCAGGGACCAGGGTTCCGTGGCTGTGTATCTGAAGAAGGGTGAGTGTGGCCGGACGGGTGGCCCCAGACTGCTTTCCAGCAGGCGCGTTTGGGGGGGCCAGACTGCCCCCACACTCCGTTCAGGAGCCCCACTTCCCTCCCTCGCTCCTTTGCTTCTCGGGCAGACGTGTCATAGCTGAGCATCTCAGACAGGCACCTGCTGAGGACTTGCCATGCCATTTCCTTTCTCACCCTCACCTGAGGGCATTTTCTCCATTGATTTTTAGAGAGAGTGGAAGGGAGAGGAAGAGACAGAGAGAAACACCAATGTGAGAGAGACACATTGATTGGTTGCCTCCCACATGCCCCTGACCAGGGCCGGGAGCCTGCAACCGAGCTATGTGCCCTTGACCGGAATCGAACCCAGGACCCTTCAGTCTACAGACGGACACTCTACCCACTAAGCCAAACAGGCTCGGGAGACATGTCGTTTTCATTCCCACCCTCATGTCTGGTCCTCAGCAAAGGCCTGTGGGGCCTGGGAGGGTCATTCCCCAGGCGAGAAACTGAAGCACAGAGCAGACGCAAAGGCTGTGGGCAGAACCCACGGAGTCCAGACTGTGTGCCCCACCCAGCCCCCGAGGCTGCCTGTGATGTGGAGGCGCCTGGGCTGCGGGCTCCTGCAGCTGCCTGTCCTGGGCCTTCCCACCCACGGAGCTTCACTCACCCCCCCATCACTCCCCCCCCACTCTCGTCCCTTTCATCTCTGCCCTCCTGGGATGTCATCCTCCCACTGGCTGGGGACCAGAAGACAGCTACGGCGACCTGAGCAAGGACGGGTGGGATGAAGAGTGGCAGGCGTGCTATACTCATAGGTCCGTAACGCAGGGCAGGTGGCCTGGCTCCCAGCTTCAGACCTGGGCTGCAGACAGCTTGCACTGCAGCATGTGGGGACGGGGCCATGCCCGGGCCCAGAGCCTCGTCTGACCTCGGTCCTCAGCAGGGACAGCGTCGGTGTCTCCTGTCTCCAGTCCTTCTCCCACCGCTGCCTCCGTCCTGCTCGATGAGGCTCCCTGGGGGCCTGGCGCCCCGAGAGCTCGGGCTTCTCTGATCCACCGCCAGGGTTACCGGACTTTCTGTCCAGTGTTTATCCCAATTATATTCACTGTTCATCTTAAAAATAGCAAAGCAGGGAGGTTATTTGCTAAAAAGAAAATAAACAAATACAACAAGTAGCCCCTCCCAAAAAGTCAATTTAAAACTATTCCGTGGCCTTGTATACAGTTTTTAAAAATCCAGTTCTATTTCTTGTTAAGTGTTGGCTATATTTTTTCTCTTCCTCCTCTCCTGAAAGTTTAGACTTTGGGGGAAATTGCAAGGGAAATTGTGGCGTTTCCTTGCTGCCAAACCAATCAAGGGCAGACTCCTTTTTTTTTGTCTTGTTTGACTTTTTAAGACATTTTTATTTTTAAGCAGCAAATGCAGACAGCCAGCCCTGCCGGGTGGCGGGGTAGTGGGAGGGGGCGGGGCGGGTAACCGGGGCCTGGCTGCAGAGCCCTGCTCTGGTCAGGAAGGGCCTTGTACCTCCACCTTCTGTAAAAGGGGAAGGGACTGTCCCAGCCAAGGGAGAGCACGCATTTTGGAGCGTCTCTGCAGTCTGTGGCACCGACGAGGCAGACAAGCACACCCACTCGCACGCCTGAGCGTGTGTGACCTGGAAGATGGGACAACCTGACGGTGGTTCGGTGGTTCGGAACCACCCTCTGTCTACACCCACCTTACGTCTGCAGCCTTGAGCCTGGAGGAGAGGCTGTGGGGTTTTTCAGAATCAGAAGACGGTGCTCAAAGGTTCCCTTGAGACTGTATGGCCCAAGCCCCCCATTCACGGTTGAGGTCAAGAAAGAGGAAGCATCCAGTGGAACCTGGGACCTCAGGGCATGATCTCCCCATCTCTTAAAGGCCACCCACACCTGCTCCATTGTCTGGGATGGGACCATCGCGGGGTCCCCTCTGCACTGGAGCATCCCAGGAGGACTCACTGAGCACCCACAGCAGGATACCCACTTGGCAGGCACTGTGGGTGCAGCTGTAAACAACACAGACGGAATGGCTGATGGATAAAGAGATTGATCCAGATGCCTTAGCTGGTTTGGCTCAGTGGATAGAGCGTTGGCCTGGGGACTGAAGGGTCCCAGGTTCCATTTTGGTCAAGGGCACATGCCCTGGTTGCGGACTCGATCCCCAGTGTGGGGCACGCAAGAGGCAGCTGATGAATGATTCTCCCTCATAATTGATGTTTCTATCTTTCCCTCTTCCTTTCTCTCTGAAATCAATAATAAAAATATATTTTAAGAAATAATAGCAGGCCTAGCCAACTTGGCTCAGTGGATAGAGCATCAGCCCGTAGACCGAAGGGTCCTGGGGTCCATTTTGGTCAACAGCATGTACCTCAGTTGCAGGCTCTATCTCCATCCCTGGTTGGGGCACATGTGGGAGACAACCAATCGATGTGTCTCTCTCACATTGATGTTTCTCTCTCTCTGTCTCTCCCACTCCCTTCCATTCTCTAAGAATCAATGGAAAAATATCCTCAGGTGAGGATTAACAATAACAACAAACAAACAAAAAACAATAGCAAACGTCAGCTCTCCACACGCTGCCATTAGACCCGAAAGGTGTCATGGTGTTTGTCCTGGTCTGTGGACTCCACGGCGCACCTCCCTGCACAGGCACATACGACCTTTCATGGCACAGAGAGGATCGCATCACGGACCACATGCTGCCACTATCGGCCAGTGAACCCTGGTCAACTCTGCGTTGTTTTAAACATTTAAAAAAAAAAATGTTCCGCCTTTTCTCCAGGCCAAGAATTCAGCACGAGAAGTCGGAAAAGCTTTGAACGAACCGGTTTCCAAAACGCGCTCTCGGGGATGTACAGCCCCTCTGTGTTCGCGGGCCCGGGGGCCAGTCTGACGGAGGCGCACCTCTTCTGCCTCCGCGCGTGTGACCGGGACGCGTGCTGCGATGGCTTCATCCTCACGCAGGTCCAAGGAGGTAATACCGACGACCACCGTGGTCTCCAGAGGACGGGAGTGTGTGGGGTCAACAGTCTCCACAGGGAGGGATGGTATTCACCCTAAACGGCTGCTTCTGCATCCATCCCGTCTCCAGGAAGAGCCGAGAACCTGGTAGTCGTATTGAATTCCTCGCCAACCGCCCTTCCCTCCTTTGTCACTCCCACTTCTTGCTCCTGCTTTCTTACTGTATTTGGCAAGGAGACTAATTCCATCCTCACCTCTGCTGTCCATCATCGGACTGTATTCGTTTTGTTTTGTTTTTGCCAGTTGTGCCAATCTCCTCATTGCTCTCTCACCCCAACCCCTGTGCTCCCTCAAAATCAGTCTGTACAGCTCTCAGCCCTACTCAGGCTTTCTCCTCCTGAAATGTGAGCTCGTCTCTTGTTTTTGCATCCAAGCTCGCATGTGCATGTCTTTGGTGGATTAAAACGTTGACACGATGAGATAGCCTTATATCCTCGACCCCTGGGAGGGGACTGGGAATGCTGAGTTTAGCTCCCAGCGACCAGTAGTGGCTCAAAGGAGAATGTTTGCTGAAGTGGCAGGGCAGGAATCTGGCTCGGAGTAAGTGCAACCCTAAAGTTCCTTTAGGTGCAATGCTCTGTGGTTATATGATGTGCATTCATGTTAGTATTTAGATAAGCAAAAGATAAATAGATAAATGATAGATGATAGATAGATGATAGATTGATACATAGATTGATAGATACATAGACAAATAGATGATAGATGATAACAGACACAAGATAAATAGGTAGATGCACACATGTGCACATGACCACACACATGTATATAGCATGTCTTTATGGGCACATATTTAGAGACACTGCATTCCAAGCTGGGAAGCCCCCTGCCTTCTCTGGCCTGCGTGTCTTTTCTGAGGACACCACTCCCCAGACTCGGTTGCTCACCAGACCGTGTGATTTCCAGCTGGAAAGGCTGACTTCACTTTCCAGAGGAGCCCATGTGGAGGAGTGATTTGTTCCAGGAGCAGGGAGCCCACAAACCCTTTTCCATGTGCTCTGGCCGGCGGCCTGCGTGCTGCTCCCGCCCAGTGTCACCTGGGATCTGTGACTTGTGGGGAAGCTATGCTCTCTTGGAGACAGACACGAAACCCAGGCCGATGGCTTCCCAGTCTCGTCCAGCGGCCAGATGTGGGGCTGTGACTGTAAAGCGTTGGCTGGACCTGCCGATGGCCAGGAACAGAGCCCGATCCGTCCTTGCCCCGCAGTCTGCAAAGTCACTTAACTTGTGGGTGGATCCCCTCCAGCCCAGCGACACTGCAGCCTCCTCCCACCTCCAACCCTCAATGGCTTCATTTCCACTGATCGTTACTAATGAAAATTCACGATGCTTCCAGACCTGCATTTCAGCAAGGCTACTTGGGGGTGGGGTTCAGAGGGACTCCAAGGCCCCAGGTTCACGTGAGTGCAATGGAAACTGGCAATATGCTCAGCAAGGTGACCTCTGACCTCTGGCCCCACCTCTCAGACACTCGGAGTTCTCACTGATACTCTACCAGAGGTGGGGAACCTTTTTCCTGCCAAAGGCCACTTGGATATTTATAACATCATTCACGGGCCATACAAAATTATCAACTTAAAAATTAGCCTGCTATATTGGGCCAAATATTTAAAAATATATTTTTTTATTGATTTCAGAGAAGAAAGAAGAGGGAGAGAGAGATAGGAACATCAGTGATGAGAGCGAGTGTCATTGATTGGCTGCCTCCTGCACGCTCCACACTGCGGATGGAGCCTGCAATCCGGGCCTGTGCCCTGACCAGGAATCGAACCGCAACCTCCTGGTTCACAGGTCGATGCTCAACCACTGAGCGCCAGCCAGGTTGGACCAAACATTTAATTAACTCACCCTAATGCCTCGGCAGGTCCAGACCAAATGATATCTCGGGCCTCATATGGCCCACGGGCCGGACGTTCCCCAACCCTGGGAGTCTGGCACCTAGAGAAGCAAGCGGCACGGGGTCTCTCCTGAGGCCTGAGAGCAGAAGGAAAGACGCACCTGCCCCCTCTTGATTCCTTGTCTGTTGTTTGACTGGTGAGAGGGACAGTGAGGCAGGCAGACGTCCTCCAAGCTCTCAGCAGGCTCTTCCTGCCCAGCCCTTGGGAATGTGCCAATAAAGACAATGGCATGGCCATCAGGGAAGAATAACCCAATTTAATACCAGGCTCCTGAGTGCCAGCTCCCTGTCCGCCTGCGGAATTGTCCCCTGGCCTCTCCTGAGGCCTCTCGGGCACAGAGGCCAGGCCAGTCTCTAAAGGGGCCCCTTCCCATCACACCAACCGCTCTCCTCTCCTGACCCCACAGGTCCCATCGTCTGTGGCCTGCTGAGCTCCCCCGACGTCCTGCTCTGCCATGTCCAAGACTGGAGGGACCCCTCCACAGCCATGGTGAATGCTACATGTCCCGGGGAGACAGCCGGCCAGGGCAGCCGCCCGGGGACACTGCTCCTGGGCGGCCAGGAGTTCCAGGGTAAGTTGCCTCCTGCCCACGTTCCTTCAGGACTAGAGTCCTCCCCAGAAAGGTTTGCTGCTGCTCTCGTAGGAGCCCCTCCAGACCCGGAGGAATTCGTGCTTCTGCTAAGGAACTGTACCCGAAATGCTGCATAGACACACGCAGGGCCTGGCGGCCGCTTTCCACAGAAACAGTGATGCAGCTCTTTAGGCTGCTGGTTGGCGGAGCGAGGCAGGCTCAGCGGGAGGCTCTGTGGTTCTCAGCCGGGCTCACTTGGCATCCAGGGTCCATGGCAGTTGGCTGGTCTGGTTGTGGTTGGGGGGGCCTGGCCTTGCTTGGCGGCTCCCTCGTCCCTCTCCTGTAGACGGCAGGAAAGGGAGGACCAGGAAACACAAGAGGTTGAGGCTTGGGTCTGACAGTCACCTCTGAGAGCACATGGCTGATGGGAGTCCAGGCGTGGGAAGACCCACATGGCCTCTCATGGCCGGAACCTCAGAGTCTGGGCAAAAGGGGTGACTGCGGAGGGGTGAAGCCCTGCAGGAAAAAATGCCATCTGTCCCCATTCTACAGCTGAAGAAACTGAGGCGCACAGATGTGAGGGCTTCCCAAGGCCTCGGGGCTTGTAGACAGAGGGCTGGGATCTGAATTAGCCCTTAAAGGCCGTATGGAGTGTTTGACACACGGTAATGATATTAGGGGATATGAGAACCCTTCTAAAACCCTGCCATTGTTTTCTGGGATGTTTTAAGAGCTGGATTGTGTCTTAATAATTTTTGGTTTTACACCATCGAGCGTACAACCCAGCCCAGCATATCCGTGGGGTGCGCCTTTCCCAAAGCCTGGAGGAAAGATCCCCGAGTTGGGCGGAATTCCACGATGCTTAGTTTCTTCTGGGGGCGAATAAAACCCAGCAACTCATTTATGTGACGGATCCTCAGCATATGGTATCGATTATTCCGTGAGGCAGCCCAGGATGGAAAGGAGCATTTGAAGAGAGACGTGGGATACATTCATGGGCAGTAAATCCACAGTGAATTGCTTAACATGGAGCATGTGCTTGGTATGAGCCCAGAAGCGAAGAATGTGCCCTTGTCTGGCCTCCTGGGGGGGACTGGTTACCCAAGGGCTTTTGGAGTCTGGGCTTTTGGAGTTGGTGTATGTGCATATTTGGGGTGCAGTCAGAACTTTAAGAAGATGTCCTTTGACGGGGATCTCAGGCAGCCTGAGGCATAGTCATGATGTTCCAAACTGGAGGTTGGAGCTACCAGCATAGGCTACTTCAAGATTTAAAGGGCTGCCCATCTGGTGAGGCTCAGTGGTTGAGTGTTGACCCATGAACCAGGAGGTCAAGGTTCAATTCCTGGTTGAGGCACATGCCTGGGTTTGCAGGGCTTAAACCCTGGTGAGAGGCCTGTAGGGCATAGTCGATGGATGATTCTCTCTCATCATTGATGTTTCTCTCTCTCCCTCTCCCGTCCTCTCTCTAAAATCAATGAAAAATATTTAAAAGAAAAGACTTAAAGGGCTGCGGGGAGAAGGGGACAATGAGGGGGGTTGGGTGTGAGTTGCAGAGATGGGCTGGGAGGTGTGTGAACAGCCATGAGGAGGGAGTTGTGGGGCCTGTGCACCCACCATTTCTGTTTAAGCTTTGTGCCTGGGTTGACCTGGGCCTCAGGTAGGAACCCTCACAGGGTCTGCATCTCCTCAGTTTCCAGGGGGCATGTCTGGATGTTTTCAACTATCAGGTGTTGGCGGCCTTGATCTTCCTATTTCCAAGAAAGATGGCTTAGAAAGCTCTGGGACGGCATACGTCTCATTTCTGACGAAGGCCTGGAGTGTAAAGGAATGAAAAACAGGCCGATGCAAAGTCCCCTACTGCCCACAGCGACTGGAAGCTCGATGGGAAAGACAGGCCTTGGCAGCAGCGCTCCAGATTCGCTGGGGATTTCAAAGGCTTCCTGTGGTTGAGCGATGGCGAGCCTCGGGCAGATGGCTGGTGTTCCCCGCACAGGGTCTGCTTTGCATCAGCCACTGTCATTATCTCGGGCGCTGGAAGCTCGGTGGAGAGACTTACAATCGTCCCCGATCACTGTCACCAGATGCCCCCGGAGCAGATGTCGGATGGGTGCCTACAAACAGGACGCCCCCGTTGGCTCTTTACAATGTTGTTGATTGTGTGCCACCGTGTGCTTAGCACTAAGTGGACTCAGGACAAGGCTGATCTGGGAAGGTCAAGAAATACAAGAGAGACCTGGGGAAGTGCTGCAGGGAGGAGAAGGCAGCCGGGGAAAGGTGCACGCTGACCCCTGGGGAATCTGGCCTGGAGTCCTGCCCAGCCCGGGACTGTGGATTCCATAGCCACACAGATGCGGCACGTGACCTCCACAGAGGGCAATTAAGACCACGCAGCCCCCATCAACCCTCAGGAGCCAGGCTCCATGCCAACCCCCAAAGCCCTAAACATATCCGGGAGCCTGCAGCCCCGACTACGGAGCCAGTGCTGATGACTCAGAGTCGGCAGGCCTGTCTGTGGGACAGGGACGTCCTAACCCAGACGTCGTGGAAAGAATGCAAGGATGTCTGGACAGGCAAAGCCGTCCACTTGAAATATTGCTCAGCAGGGGGCATGGGATGATGGTTGCGTGGGTCCTAGGTGCCCTCTCACGATCAGTGACATCAAACCAGGGACGTGTGGGGCATGGAGGGTAGGTCTTCATTCAGGAAACGAATTTGGTGGCGGATGGACTTGGGCCCTGCGTTTACTCAGTGGCTCCGAGTGTCATTGACGGCCTCGTTGTCCTCATTCGTCCCTCCTCGCCGGCATCTGTGTACTGAACACCAGTTCTCCACAGGGATGGTGGCGGTGGGGGATATAAGAAGGAGTCAGACCCAGCTCCCAACCTCAGGCAGCTCTAGTGCATTCAAGGAGCCGGACAGTCACGGTCAAGTGTGAGCTTAAAGAGAGGGGAGCTTGGTTAGTGCTGTGCAAATCCAGACGGTGCTGCAGACTGGAATGCTTAAGCAATGAGTAGCCCGGCCAGCGTGACTCAGTGGTTGAGCATCGACCCATGAACCAGGAGGTCACCAGTTTGATTCCCAGTCAGGGTTCAGGCCTGGGGTGTGGGCTCGATGGGGGGGGGGGGCAGGGTGTGCCCTGAACAGGAGACCAGGTATCTGACAGCTCTGATTTGGGGATCCAAAGGCTGGAAGAGACTCCAAGAAGCTTTTAGGGTTGCACCTGTGTGGCAGGAGAGGCCAGTGTGGGGAAAGTGAGGCAGTGTGGTTCAGTGGTCCCCCATGAGAGCAAGCCCACTCCAGCTCATAGAAATAACCATCTTCCTTTGCAGGCCCGAACCCCCAGGAAGGGACTCAGGGCCCCCTGACCAGTTTCCAGCAGGTCTATCTCTGGAAAGGTAAGCTCTGAGCTGGGGGGTGGGCAGGACACTGGTGACGGGAACCTGCCGGGCCTGGCCCTCACTCCTGGGGCACACTGCTCTCCAGGGGGAGACGGCAGAGATGTTCTTTCCAAGCTTGTGCTCTGTGTGGACTAGCAGGGCCTCAACTCTCATCAGATAAGACACCAAAGTCTGAAAAAAAAAAAGTGTGGAACCCAAGAAAGGAGAGAGGAAGGAAGGACTGGCTCCCGTGAGACCAAGTGCGCTGTCCACGGGCGCCCTTGTTCCTGGGATGGGAGCTCTGACGGCAAGGCCAACTACGGGGAGGGGGCGAGGTTTCTCCCGGGGGACTTGGCCACGGGTGCCTCGCTCCCTGAGGGCAGGGGGAAGGGATAAGGCTCCCGGGGGTGGTGCATGGACTCCCGCCACGGTGGATGCACAGAGCAGGGCGCAGGGAATGAGGAGGCTCACATACCTGCATGTTCGGCATCGCCTTCCTGTGTGTCTGGCCTCCTTTGAGTTTCCTGAACGTTGGCCAAGTGCCTACTCAGAGCAGGGACTGTGAGGGCACGTGGGATCCATCTGAGGACTATGGGATGGGAGAGATGGACGGGGCACAGCCTTGACCTGTGAGGCCGTCCAGTCTCAGGAGGGAGCAGGCAAGAAGTGGACCGTTGCCTGTCATGGCTGCAGGAGCTGGTGAGAGGCACGAAGAGAAGATCCCGGCCCCTGTATCCCTTCCCTCCTCTCCCCACGATCCCTCCTTCCCGACCTTAGTCCCTGAGAGAGAGAGAGAGAGAGAGAGAGAGAGAGCTGGCGACCTCTTCCTGTGCTTGTGAAATGGTGTGAAAGAGGCAGAATGTGGGCCTGGAGTGGCTGGGGATGAATTCTGCTTCCATTACTTACCGCCCGTGTGACCTTGACCACATCAATTATCCCCTCTAGCCCAGACGCCCCCGTAGGTAATGCAGCAATAGAAATAGTACTTGCCCCGTAGAGTGGTGTGGGCATTGGCAAGACAATACATGTAAAGGGCTCAGAACCATGCCCAGCTCATGATAAATGCTGATTCATGTAGGCGGTGGTGGTGGTGGTGGTGATGGATGGGGAAAGAGCAGGAGAAGGAAGGAGGAGGAAGAGGAAGAGGGGGGGAGGAAGAGGAAAGAAAGTACCTATCATCATCATCATCATCATCATCATCATCATCTTCATTTTAAAATGGTATGATGAGGTCATACACTCCCTCTCTCATTTAGTCTTACCTATAAGGTTAAATATATAGGCGGGGGGGGGGGGGCGGGGGGGAGCGGGCATTTTTGTTCATTTTTCCAGATAAGAAAAACAAGACTTAGAGCAGTTGAGTGAAATGTCCACAGGAGTCCTGGGGTGGGACCCAGACACTGGTCCAAAGTTCAGTGCCTCCCAGTTCTCAGAAAGTTCTGATAAAGGAGGAATTAGCTGGTAGAAAATGAAGAGATGGCGTCTCCCTGGGCTATTTCCCACACTAACCAGGAGCGCCCCTAACTGCCCAGCACCCCATCCTCCCCGCGCTCACTCTGCTGTCACGGGTGACCTGGTCCCAGCTTGGACATTTAATTTCTTGACTCTCCGTTGATGCACTTGCCACCCACACGGGATAAGTTATTTCATCGCTCGGAGTCTCCGTTTCCTCAAGTGAAATGGAAATCTTACTCCTTCCCTTCACAGGGATTGTAAAGGTCAATATTTATGAACATGTTTCATCAACCTGGAAGGGTTTATAAATGTTACTAATTTCAACAGCAAGGACAGTCATAGTTCTGCTACTGAGCGGTTGGCTGACATTCCACAGAAGGCCAAAGAGTGCAGACCTGCTCCCCGGAATTACCCCAGGTCATGTGTTGGGCACCGGGCTGCAGACCATGATGACCTCTTACGTGGCTGCCTTGTTGGCCTCCTCCCGCCTGCAACATTAGAACAACGATTCTTTTTCTCCTCCTAGATTCTGACATGGGGTCTCGGTCCGAGTCCATGGGCTGTAGAAGGGACATGGGACCAATGTCAGCACCTCCACCAGAAGCAGGTACCAACCCCAAACCCTTTCGATCAACGTGGGTGTCTGGCTGTGGAGACAAGATGGGGATGGGAAGGGGAAGCGATGAGTGGACCATTCACGTGGCTCCGTTCTGCACCCGGGACTCCCTCTGAGCTTCTAGCCCAGCTGAGACGGGAGAACCAGCAGAGCTTTGTCTATTACTCGGAATCCCTCCCAGGGAGCAGGGGGAGCAGCTCCCCTCCTGGTGGGTGTGGAAAGGGGTCCTTCTTCTTGGAGTCACGTGATGGCTCTGTGGCTCGTAGGCGTGGCCCTGGCTCGGAGTATGATGGTGGATTTTACAGAACCTTCTCAAGTGCCACAAAATCATTCACACTGACGTTGCCACGAGCCCTGTGTCCACAGGGCTCACTCAGGCTGAGCGCATATACTGGGCCACATGGGCCACACACAGACTAGGAGTCCCACGTGCCAGCCACCGCATGGCAGTGTGACCAGGGCTGCGGTGGGGACAGGGGAAGTGGGAGTGCAGAGGAGGGAGGGCACTAGGTGGCCTGCAGGAGTCAGGACCTCCGAGCAGCCTGGCAGGGTCTGCCAGACAGTTCCGGGCCACCTGGGAGACCATGTTCCAGGTCAGGGAGCAGCTTGTGCAGAGGCCTGGAGGACAGCGCGAGGGTGAAGGAACTTGGGGCATGCCTTCCGGTGCTTTCGGGCCCCCTGTCTTGCTTTCTTTCCTTCCTCCCAGTCTGTGCTCCTACCTGTGCTAGGCCCGGTGCAGTGGGGGAGGGCATGCAAACCGGCCTTGAGACACTAACATGAGATGCAGCACCTCACAGGGCTAGGGTCCCAGAGTGGAGGATGGCCAGGTGGCCCTGGGAGTCTGCCAGCACTAGACTTCCGGCCTTGGCAGACCCCCATAAGCCTTTTATCCCCCTTGAGAGATTGTTGCTGGTAAGGAAGCCCCAAGGCAAAGTGGGGGTGTCTGTGGGATGCAGTGCCCTTAGGTCAGAGCCGCGGGCTAAGGGACATTGTAAATGTGCCCTGGCTCATCTCCATCACCTGCTTCATGCAAAGTCAGACCCCCATGAGGTGCAGATATGCCCCCCACTCCTGGGTCTGGATATAGGGTCCCTCAGCCCTGGAGAACCTGTTTATAGAGCCACCGGCATCAGAGCAGGAGGGGACAGTGTGGGTCCCTGAAGCAAGGGCAGGAGCAGGTAGGGGAGGAAGCAGGGTCTACATGCAGGCGGGTGCAGCCGTGGCCGGGGGCAGCCAGCAGCATGGTGGTGAGCGAGGACCAGTGTCTGCATGCTTCCCTGGGTGAGTTCAGGCACCCGGAGGTGCAGCTCAAGATGCAGGTAGAGCCTGGACAAGAAGAAAGCTTGGGCTTCCGTTCTCAGGAAGTGGGGTGCCCAGGAGGAGCCTTCAGCCGGGGATCGCAAGGTCTGAAGACACAAGGAGAGACGGGGGGGGATGGATAAGCTGGAACTCCCAGGTTTGGGCTGAGCGAAGCTGACAGCTGGCTTCACATGACGGCCGCCTGTGGGAGAAAGGGGACTTCCCCGGGGCTTCGGAAGACAGCAGGGGCGTCAGCGCCTCAAAGTTACGGAGTCAGCTTGGACGCCATGGCTGCCTAAGGATGGGGCGGGCTGCTGTGGTCGGCACAAATGGGGGACCCCGGCTGCAGGGGCAGCGGCCAGAAATAGCCGGGGAAAGTCCCGCCTTGGGGGAAAGTTGAACCAGAAGGCTCCCAAGGTTTCTTCCAACCAAGATTCTAAGATTTTTGCAGCCGCATAATTTTAGGGCTTTCTGGGACCTTCTGATGGCAGCGGCCAGAAATAGCCGGGGAAAGTCCCGCCTTGCAGGAAAGTTGAACCAGAAGACTCCCAAGGTTTCTTCCAACCAAGATTCTAAGATTTTGTAACCGCATAATTTTAGGGCTTTCTGGGACCTTCTGAACCTTTCTCGCCTGACCAGACTCCCAGTCCTATGGACCTCAGAGCTGCTCTGGCCTCACATACCCTGAAAATGTGCGTGTGTGTGTGTGTGTGTGTGTGTGTGTGTGTGTGTGAGAGAGAGAGAGAGAGAGAGAGAGAGAGAGAGAGAGAGAAAGAGAGAGAGAGGAGATAAGGGAAAAGAAGTTGACTTCTTCCTTCTCTTCCAGATATGACGTCACAGCTCTTCTCCCCTGTGGACCTTACCCAGGTCGTCGTCAGTGGGAACCGGTCCCTGCCCAGCCGGCAGCACTGGCTGTTCAAACACCTGTTCTCACCTCAGCAGGCAAACCTGTGGTGCCTTTCCCGTAAGTATCCTTAGACCCCATCCTCCCGCCTTCTGACCCCGTGGCCAGGCGTCACAGGTTAACAACCGGAGAAACAGAGGCCAAACTCACTGACAAACTCCCAGGTCACTGCAACGTTAGCACCGTGGTCGATGCGAAGAAAGGACATAACTCCCATCTTCAAGATGCTCACACTGTAGTTAATTTCTACTCAGCTCCCCAAACCCATTATCCATCCATCCATCCATCCATCCACCCATCCATCTATCCATTCTTCCTTCCTTCCATCCATTCATCCATCCACCCATCCATCTTTCCATCCTTCCTTCCTTCCTTCCTTCCATCCATCCTTTCATCTATCCATCACCCACAGGCATAACCTATGTTCTGGGCCTTGTATTTGACCTTGGGGATGAGAAGAACACACACAAATATGCCCGTCAGAGAGCTCACGTAGACCAGGGGCAAAGTGTAACATGGGAACAGCAGCGGGAGATCATCCACGGAGCTCATAAGGTTTGACCGTCCAGTGGGCTCTGGACTGAAGGTCCTGGCGGTCTCCGAGCTGGTCTGTGCAGATCCGGTGGAGTTTTACTCTCCCTCCTCCTGGACTGCGCACCCCTCACCCTATTAGACTCTGCCTCTATTTGGAGCCACATGGACCCCCTGTTTTGTGCACGACCCTCTCCCCAGCTGTCAGAACCCGGTGTTTTTCTTGGGCCTTCCCGACTGGACAGCCCTGACTGTCCTGGGCATGTGCCTGCCTGGAAAGACCCCTCGGAGGCCTGTCTTCTCAGAAGATCCTGCCGAGGTCACGGTCCCTGAGGCCTCCCAAGCACTGAGCCCGCTGCTCCCTTGTTGCAGGCTGTGCCCAGGAGCCCTCGTTCTGTCAGCTGGCCGAGATAAGAGACAGCGCACCCTCGTACTTCACCTGCACCCTCTACCCAGAGGCCCGGGTGTGTGAGGATGTCCTGGAGCCGCGTCCCACGGGCTGCAGGCTGATCCTGCCCCGCAGGCCGAGCGCCCTGTTCCGGAGGAAAGGTGAGCGCTCTGTGGGATGGGCGGAGACGGCGTTTCCAGTGGGCGGAAGTACTTATCCAAAGTGCTCCTTACCGAGAGGTGACGCCATTCACAAAGACACCCAGTCGGCTGTAGAGAACAATTCTGCCTGGAATGCCGGCCCTCGGAGAAGCTACTGCTGTTACACGGAGCAGTTAGATCCCACCAGGCTGCATGTTACAAAAAGCCACCCACAGTGGCTCTGGCAAGATAGAAGTTGATTTTTCTTTCTAGGGCACTAATGACACTATTTTAAAAAATATTTTTTTACATTTAAAAAAATTAATTTCAGAGAGAGAAAGGGAGAAGGAGAGATAGAAACATCAATGGAGAGAATAATTGATCGGCTGCCTCTTGCATACTCCCCACTGGGGATCAAGCCTGCAACCTGGGCATGTGCCCTGACCAGGAATCGACCGTGACCTCCTGGTTCATAGGTCAACACTCAACCACTGAGGCACGCCCACTGGGTGACACTATTTTTTTGGGGAAATTTTTTTTACTCAACATAGTCTCCGTTTCTCCAAAGACGTTGTTATCTTCTATTGACTGTTCTTTCATCTTTGCTGGAGGCCTTTCTCAGATAGCTGATGGCCTTGGTTTTCCACTCAATGTAAGAGAAGGGCCCCGAAGTTGATCAGGAAGTTCTCAGTGAGCGGGGGAGCTCGTTGACCAGAGATTTGCCTGGAGGGTGATCTGGTGGGGCCACCCTTTGGGGTCCCTCATGTCATGATTTTTAGGTCCTGCCCATAGAGGAACCTTAGCGTACCTGGCCTGGGGCATGAAGCCTGGTGCTGTTGGTTTGGATCCCACGTAAGGTTGGGAGGAAGTCTCAGTATTCACCACGTGCATTGACTGGAAAGATTCCTCCGGTCTCCGGTTCTGCGCCCACCATCACTCTCCCTGGGGCACCCAAGACCCTCCCTCCTTTGTCCTCTTTAGAAAATGAGGCTTCCACCGTCCTGTGTTGGGAAGAGGGCAGAGAGCAGAGGCGGGCAGGAGCAGGAGATTAATTGCTTCCCGAAGAGATTCCGTGCCCATCCTGCTTTCGCCCACCCCGTCCACCGGTGCCGCCCTCAAACCCTTTGGGATTCCGGCAGGTGGACGGAGTGGCTTCTTGCTTCTTCCCTCAGAAAAGTCCTACATGCTTTGAGGTCTACTCACTTGGTGTTGTGCTCTGCCTGTGTGTGTGCCAGCTTCCAGGATGGCGTCGCTATGTCCCCTGTCCCGGCGCCGTGGTCTTTGTGAGAGTGTTATTGCCGTCGGGGTGGGAGTCGAACCCTTTTCTACTGGAAGCAGCCAGCCTGCTCTGTGCACCTTCATCCTCATACTTTTGCGGACCCGGCAGATCTCTCCCTACCTGATATCATTGTCTCCTTTCCCGCGCAGTTGTTCTGAAAGAGACAGTGACGAACTTTTATACCCGCCTGCCATTCCAAACGCTGACCGGGATTTCCATTAGAAGCAAAGTGCCCATGTCCGGCAAGTCCATCTCCAACGGGTAAGCTACGTCACCCCAACCCATCCCGCTGGGATAGTTATTCTAAGGCACCTGTATCTGCATCCGAAAGAAGGGGATATCTATCAGTTAAAGGCTCACGCAGAATAAAAACCTGAAGCTCAAGGCAGAGGTTGATAAAGGTAATAAGTAAGTCACCATGTTCAAGGACCAGGGCTACAGTAGATGACTAACGGCAAACGCGAAATGTAGCCTGGACCTCCCATCAGTTGATGCAACAGGAAATGCAGAAGGACAGGAGCCAGGTCTTATCAATGAACGACAATGACCAGACAGATGCTGTAATTAACTTGATCACAAAGCCTCACTGTGCTCTGTTCAGAATCTGGAGAGCAAATAGAATTTCTAACAGGACCACAGGCTTGTATGGACTTTTGGTTTATTTTGTTTCGTTTTTTTAGAAATGCTTTTTGCTGTTGTTAGTTGGCTGTTGTATAGCTGTTTTCATTGAAGACGATGCTTCTCTAGGCTTAGCCTCTGGTTCTGACCCATCAGAATCAGCAGGAAGACTTTTCACAACCCATATTCCCTGGACCTACTGAGCCAGCATTTCTGGGGGTGGGGTTCAAAAATCAGAATTTTAAATAAGCTTCCCCTCTAAAGTGCTTTTGTACTTTAGAATCAGGGCATTTTCCTGTGAACTGTTGAGCTGGGAAGCGTTGTTAGTTTGTAAAACTGTGTTGCTGGCATTTAAGATCTGCTTTGGAGAATGTAGATAAAAAAGGTGATAGGATAGACCTGGCTGGTTTGCCTCAGTGGATAGAGCATCGGACTGCGGACTGAAGGGTCCCAGGTTCGATTCCAGTCAAGGACATGTACCTTGGTTGCGGGCACATCCCCAGTAAGGGGTGTGCAGGATGCAGCTAATCGATGCTTCTCTCTCATCGATGTTTCTAACTCTCTATCCCTCTCCCTTCCTCTCTGTAAAAAATCAATAATATATATATATTTTTAAAAAGGTGATAGGATGTAGTCTGTCTGGAGATGGGGCTGAGCACACTACCCGTGCTGATGGGAGGGGGCAGAGAAGGAGGGCGGGAACCCGGGATCAGCCTGCCCCTGGTGTGGGAAAGGGCTGAGGGACTCGAAGAGGGTGTGTTGGTGGGAAAACACATGATCCAGGCTGGAGAAGTGGTGGGTGGGCCGTCTCTGAGGTGGGCAGGTGGGCAGGTGGGCAGGTGGGCAGGGCCCTGGAGAGGGAATATCAGGACAGAGATACCGCCAGCATCAGAGAAGTTGCTCAAGAGATGGAGGCTTCACTCAGCAGGATGCGACTCGGAGTCATGGCTTCTGGGCAGGGAAGGAGAGCGCCACGAATGAGGCAGGGTCCCCGCACCGGAAAGGACTTGGGTAGAGGGAGTGCTCAGGAATCAGGAATGAGCGACCTGAATTGGGACAGATGGTCGGGCAGAGGGAACTCCGAACTGAGCCCAAAGCAGTGGTTTGGAGCCACTAAGTTCCTTCTGGTAGCACTGGAAGGTGGGGTCCAGGAGTAATCAAGCAAAGGAGGTCCTGCCTCAGCCAACAGAGGTATGTCCCGGAGGGAGATTAGCCCGCAGTGGAGTGGGTAAGGGGGGGACACTGCTCTTTGCCACTTCAACAGGCACCTGATTGGGTCACTCCAACTGTAAGCCCTTCCCCCCATCCCCCATTTCCCCCATCCCACCCCTATCCCCCATTTCTGGAGACACCTTCCCTACCATCTCTTCCCTTTCCTAGAACCCAAAGCTGAAAGGGTTTGAGGATTGTGGGCTAGCTTGGCTTAGAGCCTGGCACATTATAAGCACAGAATTTATGTTCACTGAATGAATGAGTGGATGAATGCAGGATGGCAATCCAGTATTCCTGAGAAAAGAGTAGATTGTTTTCAGAAAATACCTCAAAGCTAGGAATCCATTCATGCATATTGGCCAGATCACCCCAATTTAGGAAGTCATAAGGAAAGCAGGCCCCCAGAAGCAAGAACGCGCTGTCCCCAGTAGGTCCTGGACCACCCGTGACATCCTTCGGGCCTGCTCTTTCTCTTCTTACGCCAGGTTCTTCGAGTGTGAACGACTGTGCGACGTCGACCCGTGTTGCTCCGGCTTTGGCTTTCTAAACGTTTCCCAGTTAACAGGTAATAGTGATAACACCCCCTCACCTGCGCACAGCCCTCTGCAGCCTAGGACACGCATCACATCTACGATCTTATCGAATCCTCAGCATCTTCTCGTGGTGGGAGGGAGGAGCGAGCCTGTCCCCAGATGGGAGGTGGGGCTTGCAGAGGGGCGGCAGCTCATGAAGATGATAGCTGGGACGTGGCTCCTGGCCTAGCACCTGCTCAGCTTCACTCGGCACGTCTACCCGGCCGGACATTCGCTAAGTATCTTCTCATCTTCCAAGACTCAGGTCTGGCACTTTGTGGGGTGAACTTTGGATCAAGTCATATGATCTGTGTTTAAAACTTGAGTACTTGCTGGTGGTGTGACCCTGGAAAAATCACTTAATCTCTGAGCCTCAGTTTCCTCCCCTGTAAATGGGAAACGAATGCTCCCTCCTCACAGGGCTGTGGGAGGGCCAGGTGATATGGTGCCGACATCTCCAGCACAGCCCTGGGCACGTGATGGGTGCCCCATGAGCGTTAGCTGCCTTTATTCCTGTGCTCTGGGACCAGAGACAGTAAGGTACCAGGTTTTTCATCAGTGGCTAAGGTCACACCCAGACTATAGCTGTGAACCCCAAATATCTAAAGGATGAGTTTGCAGAATTCCCCTCTTTTAGTTTAGAAACTTCTGTCTTGATTATTTTCCTGGTCCTGGTTATTATTATTTTTGAATTTATTATTTTTCTTTTTAATTGAATTTATTGGGATGACATTGGTCAATAAAATTATACAGGTTTCAAGAAATCCAAAGATACCTTGAAGGAAATGAAAATGAGAACACAGAAACCCCAAATCTATGGGACACAGCCAAAGCAGTCCTAAGAGGAAAATTCATAGCATTCCTGGTCCTGGTTATTTTTTGCTCCAGGAGGAGAGGTGACATGCCTAACTCTGAACAGCTTGGGACTTCAGACCTGCAGTGAGGAAAGTGGAGGAACCTGGCGCATTTTGGACTGTGGCTCTCCCGACACCGAGGTCCGCACCTATCCCTTCGGATGGTACCAGAAGCCTGGTGAGTAATTGGCTCCGAACCGCTACATGAGCATCTTCAGTTGACGGGTTTCCAACCGTATATTAGGATGATGTCCTGGGGCCTGGAAGTACATTAGTCAGGATTCATTGTGTGCAAACAACAGAAGCGGATTCTATTTAAATTACACAGAAAAGGAATATTTGGGGGAACCTGTTCATAGACTCAGAGGAAGGGTGACCCACTCAGTCTCAGCAGCATGTGTGTGTTGAGGAGGAATGAATGAGCAGCCTGTCATCCTTATTCTCCTCCAGAGGCTTTGGTGGCTGCACTCAAGCTTTAGATTCAGGGGAGAGTTTGTCCCATCTTGGGCTGTGAGCGGGGCAGCCTGAGTGACAGGCCAGGGAGGCTGTATGCACTGGCAGGGAGGAGGTTCCTCAGAGGACAGTTAAGGCGCTGTTACTGGACAGAGGAAGACAACAGGTGTGCCCTCCACCAGGTTCCCTTGGCTTTCTCCTCGTGTCGATTAGGAAAATGCAACCCCACATCTCTCCTCCCACACCCCTTCCCATCTCCGCATCCCACCATGTGCTGGGAAATGTCCTTTTCCATCCTTATATTGCTCAGGGACCAGCTGGGTACAAAGGCGTTTAAGCCGTGGTTTCATTTGTTCAGCAACGTTCTGGGCCTCAGAGAGCTCCTCATGGGCAAAGGCTACACCACCTCGGTCCCTGAGCCGTGTCCACAGGACAGAGGTGGACGCTGAGCCGGGCACACTCCAGGAGGGAGGCCCACGCCTGCAGCAGGGAGCTCCGGGAGGGGCCAGCGCCTGCGGGCTGTGCTTTCTGACTTTGCTAACACAGTGCACAGAAGTTCCACATGGTTTAGCTGAGAACCCAGAGCCCAGATGAGCCACTGTGAATGCAAATGAGACTGCTTGCAGCCCCTTCCTGGCAGTGGGACCCAGACAGGAAGTATTCTTAACATCTAGGTGGGAGGGCAGGGGCATGAGGGCAGCTCTGTGGTCAAACAGTGCCCCAGAGACTCGGAGTTCCTGGAAGGGGACGGGCCCTGCGGCCTGGGTACCCTCTGCTCTTTGAAGAAACCGGGGCTGACCATCCTCTCCAGCTGTGCGAGGCCTGCGAGTGGGGCAGGGTCATTGGTTGGTTTACAAAGTCAGATGTGGCTTCTAGAAAAACAGTGGGAGCTTCACAGTGTCTCTCCTTCTGCCAAGCAAATGCGGGTGGGCCCTGAAGCAATTCCAGATGTGGGAGCATCACCCAGAGAGGGCGTGACCGGCTCTTCTAGCGAGGTCTGTGCGCCCCACGTAGGAGCTGCCGCATGGAGGTAGTTTCTATACAAGCTGTTCTTCGCGATCATTCACATCCCAGCAAAGCACTTACCAAGCACAGCGTTGGCTCCAGGCACTAGGCTAACATTTTGCAGAAAGCATCTTATTTAGCCCCAAACAACCCCAGAGGTAGCACCTGTTGTTACCCCCCCGCCCCCCATTCAGTGCTGCGCTGGCAAATATTTTACAACCAGAGAAGATGGAGGGAAGCCCTGGTTTCCAGCCATTGCCACTTGCCATGGTGTAAATACTCTCACCGTGGCCAGTTTCAAGTACCAATGTGATGTCCTGGAAGGCAGAGTTGGGAAGAAGCAGAAAGGTTAGCAGTCATTTGTTTAACACATGTGAGTTAGCCGAGCGAATGGCTCAGGGTCCCACAGTGAGGGGCACAGTAGGGGGGTCCCACAGTAAGGGGCACAGTAGGGGGGTCCCACAGTGAGGGGCACAGTAGGGGGGTCCCACAGTGAGGGGCACAGTAGGGGGGTCCCACAGTGAGGGGCACAGTAGGGGCGCCCCACAGTGAGGGGCACAGTAGGGGGGTCCCACAGTGAGGGGCACAGTAGGGGGGCCCCACAATGAGGGGCACAGTAGGAGGGCCCCACAGTGAGGGGCACAGTAGGAGGGTCCCGAGGGCAGTGCCAATCCTCCCAGGGACAGAGGGTGTTGACGGTTTCAGGGTTGCAGGGCCCCAGGGAACCTGAGAACCCTCACAGCCCAACGGTTCCTGTGCAGTGAAGGAGCCCTCACCCCCCACCCCCCGCCCCCCTGGAGGGCGGCCAGCACCCTCTTGTGAAACTCGGATGGTGCGCAGAAAGAGTAACAGCAGCAGCAGAGCTAGGAGACCAGTTCCTGCTGATGGGAGCTGCATGGTGTCCTCATGGGTTATGTCGTTTCCAGCGACTCATCGATGTGGCCTGGATGTTCATTTGCAAACCAAGCGTACTTTGAATTGCAAGTTAATTTCCAAGAGCACAGTTACTGGGTCCGAGGCAGGACATTTCTATTTCGTTAAATTTATCTTTATTGTTGAGAGTATGACAGATGTCTCCGTTCCCTCCTCCATTACTCCCCCCCCCATTCCGCTCCCACCCCCTCTCCAGGCCTTCACTCCACTCTTGTCTGTGTCCGCGGGTGATGCACACATGCATATAAATTCTCCGTGTGGCATTTCAGCGCCCTTCAGAGGGTCAGATTGCTCTCTGAAGACGGCGCCGATGCTCAGGGTCTTTGCTCCGAGCCGCTTTCTCCCAGGGGGACAGACATCGACACGGACGAGCAGGGTGCCAGCTGGCCAGCGGGTGTAGCGGCCGGGCACGGCGGCCGGTTGGCAGCATCTGAGTGTTGTCTGGAGAGCGCACAGAAGATGGGTGGCGGAGCCTCCGTCAGCGGTCCTCAAAGTGTGTCCCAGGGCAGCAGGGTCGGCCTGTCCTGGGATCTCAGGCGCCGCTGCAGGGGCACAGGGCGCACCGGAGAGGCGACCCTCTGGTGTCTCCAGCCCCTGAGAGGTGGTGGTCCCTTCGGCACCCCGAGCCCTCCTGACTGACGCAGGTGGTGCTGGGGGTCGCACACGCTCTCTGCCTGCCAAGCCCAATTTTGCCGCCACCCAGTTGTCCCTCCAGTAATGCCCTCGGAGCTCAGGGACCCCAGGGGAGGAAGAGCTAACAGGCTGCCTTCTTCTCCTTTGCAGTCGCTCAAAATGGTGCTCCCGGCTTCTGCCCTTCGGTGGCTCTGCCTTCCCTCCCGGAGAAAGGTGAGCTGCTTGTCCATGTCTCTGATGTCGGGGCCCCGCCTCTTCCTCCTCTTCCTGCTTCCTTTTGTCCATAGCCTGCTGCTCGCCGGACCCTCTCACACGCATCCATTCCAGCTCCTACCCATTGCACACGTGCAGAGGCAGGACAGAGGCCCGCCCATTTCACAGATGAGGAAACTGACTCACAGTGATGACATGACTTGGTCCAAATACCACGGCTAACTGGAACAGAGTGGGACTCAAGCCCTGTTCTCTGAGGCTCGTTTCACCCCATTAAGGAAAGGCTAGGCCTGCGGAGTCCTGGGGCGATGCCAACCGTGGTGGCACTTGTAGCCAAAAAGTGAGAGAACTCAGCTAGCTCCGCATTCGTGCAGAGGAGTCCGGGCTCACAGCCATCAGCACGCTGGGTGGCACTGTGGCATCTAAGGCGGGCACCGGCCCGGAGCCCAGGAGCAGCCCAGACCGAGGCCACCTGGGTCCAAGGCGGCAGGAAGTGGGGGGAGGGGCTGCTCTGGACGGGGTTCGGTGGGAGGGGGCGGGCCAGCGTGGGCCTCCTGCACGTCCCTTCCCTGTGTCCATGGTCAGGAAATGAGAGGCTCTGGGAGCCCCCGAGAGTTAATTCCTGCCCTGTGACCTGACGTCTGAGGGGCTCTAGACGCCTGTCATTACCGCCTGGCGGAGAGGCAGAATATAGCTCCCGTAGGAGGCGGCCACTTACGGTCAAGGCTGTGGCCGAAAGTATAAACGGTCCCATGATGTCAGGTTCCTCCTCTCCGTGGAAATTGCTAACTTTGGAGGTCATTTTTTTCCTGCACATTTTATTTAAAATATTTTTTTAAAATGTATTTTTTATTGATTTCAGAGAGGAAGGGGGCGGGGGAGAGAGAGAGATAGAAACATCAATGAGAAGAGAGAATCATGGATCAGCTGCCTCCTGCATGCCCCCCACTGGGGATCGAGCCCACAACCCGGGCATGTGCCCTTGACCGGGATTGAACCCGGGACCCTTCAATCTGTAGGATGACGCTCTATCCACTGAGCCACAGCAGCTAGGACTTTCCTGCACATTTCATAGAGAATGTCAGGGTCTGAGCACAGTGTGGCTTCCGGTTCCTGAGGCACTGGGAGGTGGGCATCACTGCTGCCCAGTCAGGGATGGCAGGGGTTGGCTTAGGGAAGGGAGGACATACTCAAGGCCAAACACATGACACACGTCCCAGCCAGACTGTGGTCAGAATTGAGTTTGAGTTTTATCAAGGTAAGACACGGACATTTGAAATAATCTAAGAGACCCCAAAGGTTTATGGTGGTTGTTTTTTTTTAAGTCAATGTGTTCCCCGTCTCACCTCTACCCACTTGCCATTGGCACTGCCCGAGGGAGGCCACCGCCTTCACCGTGTTTAGCTGTTTTCTCTCACTCTGGCCTCTACATTTCTAAACAATAAGTGACTCTTGTTGTACCGCGATGTTTCAGTTTGGGAAGTAGCTGCTGAGTCCAGGCCTTGATAAACGAGGCCTCAGGGCTCTCTTTTGTCACCTTTTTCTGATTTTCCTCCTTCATTCTCAAAGCCTAGTCATATCGAGACTTGGGGCTGAAACAAGTGTATTTGACCGTGACGGCCATGTGAATGAGGTTTCCTGGCAGCCTCAGCGTGTAATACAATCTCCTGGTATCACCAACCACCTGGGTGGGGCCTGAGCTGGCCGTCCTCTGCCACCCCCAGATGCCACCCCTGCCTTCCAGGGCCCCGCTGCCTCCTGGGCTGCCCAGAAGGTCCGTGGAGGACATCCCAGGGGGTCTGTGGAGGACACGGTCATGTCCATACCCCACTCCCCTCAGTACCTGGAGAGTTAGTTGCTCCTCGCTGCCGTGTCTGTCAGCACGCCTTCTCTCCTTTTCTTCATCTCAACGTGTGTTGAAACCCCTTCGCTGCTGTTTGCTCATTTCCATGGTCTCCCTTTGTCAGCTTTGTGGGTTTAGCTTTTCCATTCATTACTCCATTTTTAGGGGTTTGTGGAGGGAGAGAAGAGGTATGTGCAGCGTTTAATGAAAAGCAATAATATACTATTTTTCCAGAATCTTTCAACCTCTAATGAAAACTGCATGCTGTCCTCAGCACCGTGCTAAACAGTTGCTCCTCACACAAACCTCAGGAGACGGGTCCTCACTCAATACTATGGCTCAGGGGAGACTGGAACCGCGCAGACAGGGCGCAGGGAGGTCTCGGTGAGGAGGTGACTCCACATCACTGTGTTTCCAGGCTCCCAGGCTTTCTGTGTGGTCGGAAGGCGTTGGGACTTTTTTGTTTTCACCTAATATTGCATTATGTGTACATTTCCAGATTGTTATACAGGGTGGGGCCAAAGTAGGTTTATAGTTGTTCATATGGAAAATGGTAGAATAATTAATAAATAATAATACAAGAATAAACTGTGTTTTGCATACTCACCACTAGAAACCTACTTTTGCCCACCCTGTCTATCTCTCTAAATCACGCGTGCACGAGTATATTCATTCATTCATTCATTCATTCATTCACTCATCTGTGTTCTACTGTCACGATGCTCCCAACCTGGTATATAGTTGTTCATATGGAAAATGGTAGAATAATTAATAAATAATAATACAAGAATAAACTGTGTTTTGCATACTCACCACTGGAAACCTACTTTGGCCCACCCTATCTCTCTAAATCACACGTGCACGAGTATATTCACTCATTCATTCATTCATTCATTCATTCATCTTGTCCTACTGTCACGATGCTCCCAACCTGGTGATGAAAAGCGGGTGAGGACAGGACGGCGTTATCAGTGACAGCTGTCCTGTTACCCCACCAGGTGGACCCCCTGCCGTTCACCGGCTCCCCCCTGTTTTGGACATTTGGTTGTTATGGCTTGTTATGAGAATACTACAACGAAAACCTCCGTACAGGGAGCTTTTGCCAACGACCAGATCATTTCCTCCAACGTGAAATGATTGTGTTTGAAAACTTTAGATTTTTTCGAGTCTAGACTTATATTTCCAAAGTAGTCTCAGGTAGTTCTTCCTAGTGTTTCCCCCCACCCCCACCACATTCTTAGAATCACTTAAAAATATTACTCATTAAAATTAGAGGTGAAGAGGGCTTCAATATCTAATTGCCGGATGCAAACTGTTAGGCACGAATCTACCACAGAGTGAATATCTGGGAGTGACTGTACGTGCCTCCACCCTGGATTTTGCTAAACATTTGTATTGCTGAGATGTGAGTTACCAAGAAAAGAAAAAGGGAAGATGGAGTGTAGCCCGTCTCCCTTCATACCCACAATCTGTGGCTCTGAGTAGCTGTTTCCGAGGCAGAACGGGCGGGCACAGTCTTTTTAAAGGCGCCTCTGACAAGTGTGATCTGCAGGCAGGAGAGAGATGGAGCTGGCGTCCCATCTGTGCTTAGCTTCCAACTTGGAACTGGGCATCTGAGCGTGTGCCTTTGATTCGAATCAGAGGGAGGGCGTAATTATGCCTTAGGATATGGGCATGCCAACGTGATTCTGACATGGAGTGTGTGTGTGTGTGTGTGTGTGCACTATGCATATGTAGAATGCTCATCCCTATACAGTTTCTATTCAGGGAGCAAAGGAAATATTTGTTGCATACCAACCATTTCAAAAATCAGTTCCCGCTCATAAGACAGTTTGATGGTAGTAAGAACTGCTTCTCAGATAAGGAAACGGAGGCTCGGCCAGGCTGCATGGCCACGCTGGGCTTTGAACCCATGTGTCGTTCTGGCCCCTCAGAGTTACTAAGACTCCTTGGTTTGAGCTTCTGGAAAGGGTGAACGAGGTGGACAGTCCAGTCCTGGCCTTGTCTGGAGGCCTAATCTCTGGGCCTGTTTCTTGTAGGAGCCAGTGTATCAGCCGCCCCTTCCAGGTCTAGCGTGAACGGGGCATCCGAGGCTCTGATGGCCGGTGGGGATGGCGTGGAGGGGGAGGGACCACTGACCTGGGTACAAACCACACGCCAGAAACGACTCCGAGCACTTCCCTGGGTTGCTCCAGTGGAGGCTCCCAGCCCCTCGGCTGGGTTGCCGGCGGCAGGAGTTTGTCCAGTGGACACCTTTCAGGAAGTGTTTCAGGGGACAGTGGTTTGTCTGTGCGGGCCCCGGGGCGTGACATCGGGGTTGGGAGTTTGATGGCAGACACGGGGCCATAGCGGGACGCGGCAGAAGGTGCGCAGCAGAAAAGCCCTGCGTTTGGAACTTGAGCTTGGCGAGATCTCTTGGGGTGGGTGAGTGAGCAGGAGAGTGACAGCAAGCTCCCGGGCGGGCGAGAATGGAAAAGTATTAAGGCCGAAGAGGTCATCTTTCACTTCGATTGAGTCCAGGTCAGTGAACGTGCACACACCAGCCATGTTGGGACAACGCCTTCTAAACCCTCACTTCCGTCCCAGGAGATGCGCTGCGCTGGGGATGGAGGCCTTAATGGCAAAGATAGGAGCCCACAGGTCAGGAGAGAGGAACAGGAAGGTAGGATTCAGGGAGCTGAGCCACTTACACCGCCGTGAACGACTCCCAGGCTGTGGTGGGGTGAGGGAGGACCCCCCGGATTCACCACGGCAGGCAGGGAGGGACCACGGCCACGTCATGCCATGCTGCGACATCCGGACTAGCGTGCATTTGCCAGATGGCCACGAGGGGACAGGGGGGCGTCCTGGGCAGAGGGGGGGCATGAACGGAAGCCCACGGCATGCATTGGCGCGGCACATGCAGGGGGAGACAGTGGCTCAGGACCGGGGGACAGGAGCGGGGCTGGATGGGGTCCGGGGCCTGATGGTCACGTGCGTGAGGTACCACACGTCCTCCAAGGGCTCTAAGCAGCTGCCCAGTGAGCTTTACAACTATTCGAAAGCTCTTCCCTGGGCTGTGAAGGGGATGCCTTGGTGGATGGACAAGCTGGATTTTGAGAAAATGAAGTCAATGGTGTCATCTGTGTATAGAGTATCCTCTTACTCTTTTCAGGGA